TTCTTCTCTTCATTCCATTCTACCTCATTCCAACTCATTCTCATCAGCATGGACATGGAGACTGTCTCTCAGATCTTGTTCGGTAATCACCCTTCGTTGGAGTTCCTCAATAGTTCTGAAACTGGGTCTCGTATCCTCCAGAGCCATCGTGACAAGCCTTTGGTTATCCCACTTCTTATTGTCCTCCCATTCCTTCTTACCGCTCTTTTCCGTTATTACTCTTACTCGCCCGTTGTTTTGAGTTATCACCCAAAGACTGTCTCTCTCAAGGTTTATAACAAGAAGACCGGTAAAGTTCAATCCGAGAACTTTATTGAGTATATCAGGGGAAAATGCCCTTCGCTTTTTGATCCCAAGAAGGCCGTCTTCAAGCCAACGCTTTGGATGACCAATGGACATCTCCAGACTGCCTACGCTGCTTTTGTTGGTTTTGAGAATCAGTATAATATCGACTACCAAAGGTAATTATCATTTCAATTTTTTTTTGTTTGTTTTTCAGTTGGGAAATGATCGAGCCAATAGTTTCGAGAAGCGGAGCAAGATTACCCGTTTTTTTTTAGTTATCCATCACTTTTCTTCTCTGATATATTTTCTTTCTCCGTGTGGATTATCATGCAGATCCAACTTGATCTTCCTTCTTTTTTTGTGTGTGTGTCTGTGTGTTCACATTTTCTGAACCTTGCGCGACCTTAATGGTCAAACGTAATCAACTGATGTGAATACTCCTGTTGATTGAGAGCAGCTAAGGGAGTGTGGTTTTGCATGCTTATATGCTTATGCTAATCTTGTATCTATTTATATTTTGCATCACATAATCACAGGGAGTTGTTAGAGACTGCAGACGGTGGAACTCTTACAGTGGACTGGGCTCCATCATTTGAAAAGAAACCAATAGATGCTACACCTACCCTTGTCTTTCTTCATGGCCTTACTGGAGGTAGTCACGAATCATATATCCGCGCCTTGGTCGAGACCATGACACGCGATCATGGTTATCGCTGTGTTGTCTTCAACGCACGTGCTTGTGCCGACTCCCCATTGACATCGCCTCAGTTGTACAGTGGTGCCTATACTGATGATCTTAGATTCGTGATGAAATATATTCGAAAAGTTTTGCCTGAAGCTAAACTCATGGGTATCGGATTCAGTTTGGGATCAAACATCTTGATGAATTACATGGGCGAAGAAGGTGACAAGTGCGAATTTCTCGGTGCCATGTCTGTCGGAAATCCATTCGACCTTTTGGGGTAGGATATTCACATGAAGACTGTCTTTACAATGCTATAGTTTGGTGACTTTTGTATTGACTTGTGTTGATATATATAAATATAGAACTTGCTACAATATGGAGCGCGGATACCTCCAGCGAAAGATCTACTCTCCAACTATGGGCGGCAGTCTTAAAAAGATTTTCTTCAAACACGCTAAAATGTTTGAAAATTCCCCTGTTGTGGACATGGATGAAGTTAAACGCGGTATCACCATTCGCCAATTTGACGACGCTGTTACTCGTAAGGTCTTTGGTTTCAGAACTGTTCAAGAGTACTACCGTGTTGGTTCGTGCCATCAACGACTCCTCGATATTAAGAGACCTTTCCTGTGCCTCAGTGCCTTGGATGATCCAATTGCTGTTGAGTGGTGCATTCCAACAGATGAAATCACAAAGAATCCTTATGGACTATTGGCAACAACTAGTCGTGGTGGTCACTTGGGTTGGTTCCAGGGTTTCTTCAGTCAAGATCGCTGGTCCACAAAACCATTAGAGGAGTTCTGTCTTGCCATATTTGATGCCGACCGCCGACCCATTTCTCAGTCACCTGATTATTTGAGTGCCGCAAAATAGTAGCCAGGTCAATAATAAAACAGTAGAATCGTAAAAGTTTTTTTTTTTTTTTTGCCCACAAGAACTGAATCCGGAATTGTGAAAAAAAATAATCAAAATTATATTACTGCATAGCCTCCATAAACACTATTGGATTTTGAACAGGTGTTATTTCTCTATATTCTAAGAAGGAAGGGAGGGGGGGAAAGGATGTCATGAATGACCACCGTTTGTAACAGGTACAGTTTGAGGTGCCGAGAAATCTAGAGATTCTATGGAGCTTGACATTGAATCATTGCTTGTTTGATACTGTCGACGAGACTCTTTGCGAGAAAGAGTGAGCTTGCTTCCAGATTTCGATGGCTTTCTGGTCAAATCCTTTGGGTGAATAAAGTTGCAGCGGCTTCCAAATGTGCAGTTCTCAGGATCACTAATGTAGGAAGGGAGGGAGCGTTGTATTGTTAGGAATATGAACATCCAGAGAGGGAGAGAGAAGAGAGGAAGGAGAGGAACCGCTATCTATGAGTCACAGTTCATATACAACTTTGTTGTTTCTGCTACATACCGGCAATATAGAGTTGGATGAGTGAACTTGCATGCTTTGTTGGTACAGTTAGGCCAGAATCGGCATCGAGACTTCATCTTAACT